GCTCCCTGCTCAGCGGGGAGTCTGCTTCTCCCTCTGACCCTCTCCCCTCTCATGCTCTCTATCTCATTCTCTCTCTCAAATAAATAAAATCTTTAAAAAAAAAAATAAAATCCTTAAAAAAAAAAAGCTTCTAGAAAAAAAAAAGGAAAAAATTCTCATGACCTTGGGTTAGGTTAAGAGTTATTAGCTACCACTCCAAAATCATGAGCCAAAAGAGACAGTTGATAGATCGAATTTCGCTAAAACCAAAAACTCCGCCACTCCAAAAGACACTATTATGAAAATGAAGACAAGCCACAGACTAGGAGACCATCCTCATAGATCAGATACTTGATAAGGAACTTGTATTGAGAATAAAGAATTGTCAAAATGTAACAAGAGGGGCGCCTGGGTGGCTCAACTGGTTAAGCGACGGCCTTCGGCTCAGGTCATGATCCTGGAGTCCCTGGATCGAGTCCCGCATAGGGCTCCCTTCTCAGCAGGGAGTCTGCCTCTCCCTCTTACCCTCCTCCCTCTCATGCTATCATTCTCTCTCAAAAAATAAATAAAAATCTTTAAAAAAAAAAAAGTAACAAGAACATAATGTGATTTTTAAAAATGGGCAAGTCGTATTAAATCTTTCACTAACAAAGATATAAAAACGGCCAATGAGCATATGAAAAGAAGCTTGACCTTATCGGTTGCCAGGGATTGCAAATTAAAACCACTCATGAGATACCACTTCAAATCCGCTAGGGTGACTGTAATCGAAGTGACAGACAGTAATGCGAGCGTTGGAAAACAAAGGAACTTGAACCCTCACACCTGGCTCGTGGGGATGCAAACACAAAATGCTTCGGCCATTTCTCAGAAAGTTACACATTCCCTTATCACAGGACTCAGCAATTCTACTCCTAGGAATCTACCCGAGAGAACGAAAGCCCGTGTCCACATGAAGACTAGTAGGCAAATGTTCACAGTGGCATCGTTCGTTACTAGCCAGAGTGGAAATGACCTCGGTGTCCATCATCAACTTGTTAATGGGATAAGATGTGGTTCTCCATTCAATGGCATACTATTCAGCAGTAAAAACGTACAAAGTGCTGATACTGCAGCACAGACAAACCTCAAAAACATTATGCCAAGTGAAAGGATCCAGAGGCAAAAGATTACATGTTGAATGATCCCTATGAAATGTCTGGCAAAGGTGAATTTATAGTCAGAAAGCAGATCAGTGGTTTCCTGGGCCTGGAAGTGTCAGGGTCTGACTGCAAACAGCCTTGAGGGAATTTGGGGGAAGGGGTAAGAACATGCTCTAGAGGTGCCTCGGTGGCTCAGTTGTTAAGCATCTGCCTTTGGCTCAGGTCATGATCCCAGGGTGGTGGGATCGAGTCCCGCGTCCGGCTCCCTGCTCAGCGGGAAGCCTGCTTCTCCCACTCCCCCTACTTGTGTTCCCTCTCTCGCTGTCTCTCTCTCTCTGTGTCAAATAAATAAAATCTTAAAAAAAAAGAACATGCTCTAAAATTGAATTGGGTAATAATTAAGTAACTTACTAAAAAGTCACTGAAATACATTCCAATAAATCCACCACACAACAGAATACCTTACTGCAGAGCAAATAAAGTGAACTGTGCTCATTTCTCCGTACTCTGCCCCACCCCCGATTCTCTTTTTTGGTTAAAGCAGCAGCCTTTAAAGTATCGAAAGTAAAATAGTTACTATTAACCAGATGTGAAGTTAATGAAACACTTCCATGGTTTTTTTCTTTGAGAAGACATGAATCAAATCTCCAGATGTAAAAACTCTCGGACATCAAGTTCTCTACACTCCAGTCCTTTATGGGGAGATGTTGCCAATAAAAGTATTTCGAAGAAGCACTTGTTAGTTTAATATTTTCTTACTTGAGCCTCTCAGCAAGCAACCCCATCACATGTATCCAGGATGAGAGGACTCTTCTTCGGGAGTATTTACTTTGTAAACTAACAACAGTGATCGAAGGGAAATGAATTCAGGTTTGCCTCTGCCATAAAACAGCAAAAAAAAAAAAAAAAGCACCTGCTGTATGAAGTGTTGTCTTAAAAGACTTCAACTACCCAGTGTCAAGACTGCCAGACTCCATCCCTCTCTCCAAATCAACAGGTGAGAAAACAAATGTCACATTGCCATGACATTGAACAAGAACAGGATTATATTTTTGAACTAAAATGCTGTTCTGAAAATCATAATGCACACGAGTCCTTTTACAGTGTACTTCTGAGCACATTTTGCCAAGAGACAATGACCTGAAGGGTCAAGAAACTGAATAAGCTCTTTTCCTTACAGAACTTGATCTTGTGATCCAAGAGCTGTCATAGATCAACAAATTCATCAACAAAGGATTCAACAAACGTACCTCGCCTAACACTGTCAACATGTTTTGTCACATAATTATGCAGAATATGAGCCAAAAATGCACATACCAGGGACACACAACCATAAGTCCCAAAAATACAAAGGAAATCTGATCAAGGAACCCAAGACAGTTGGTCAATCTTTAGTTCGTACAAACCATAAATGTGTCAGCGGATGTATCAGGGCCAACAAACTGCACAATCCAGGGAAAATCATTAATTCTGTAATCCAAGCTGAAGGTCCTGGAATTGTGCAGTATACAACCTGTGCAGCTGTACATGGTGGCCCTGGGATTAGGTATCTCATAAAAACACAGATTCATCATCATGGCCTTTCAAAGGAAGTATGTGAAAATGGAACAGATGCAAAAAAGTAGGGTAAGACCCTGAAGGCAGGCCTATGAAAAACCTTAATTACCTATAAAGGAGTTTTACATAGGAAATTCTCAGGAAAGGACAAAAAAAAAAATCACTAGACCTGACCTGGATGACTATTTTTAGAGCCTTCACTTTCTGGTCCGAGGCCCAGGCGTCCTTCAGCGACTGGTTGAGCTCCTCAATGCGGTTCACATAATCCTGTTGAGTCAAATTCAACAGTTCCTTTTGGGATCCCTGTGGGCAGAAAGTAGGAAGGTGTAAGCACAAAAAGAAAAACAACATTTGGCCACCATCCTGTGAACAATACTGAGTATTGGCTGAGCTTCGGTCTCTTAAGTTTTTCTCATACTCCCAACCAGGACTGACAGTTTCGTCTTGTGACTGAAGAGGTTGAGTTTTCTGCAAAAACAAGCAGAGCGCAGGCACTGAGACTGACCTTGGAGCAAGTCAGACCTAAGTCAGCCCTCAGCTCAATGATTCAGATAATCACTGGGAACCACTGTGTGCCAAGCAGGGGACACCAGATGCCCGAGACAGAAAGATGAGCAAAAAAGTTATTTCTGCACTAACGGAGTTTCATATACAGAGGATGAGATGGATATTAATATAAATGGAGATAAATGCTCCAGAGGAAACAATTCTATGAAAACCTACATCATAGTTCACTGAATCTGAGGTGCCCATTCTAGGAAGCACAATTCTTTGTGTACCACTAAGTTAGAAAAAAAAAAATGCCACTCACGGACATGCACTAATTGAGAGACGCAGCCCAATTTCAGGGACATTCAAATGTGGGGGAAAAGGTTTATCTCAGAATGGAAGAAATACAGTAACGAAGGAACGGACTCTAGACTGGTGGTCGAGAATGGTTTCCTGGGGGAGCCTGGGTGGCTCAGTCAATTAAGTATCTGCCTTCAGCTCGGGTCATGATCTCAGGGTCCTGGGATCAACTGAGCCCTGCATCGGGCTCCCTGCTCAGTGACGAGCCTGCTTCTCCCTCTCCCTCTACAGCTCCCCCTGCTTGCGCTCTCGCTCTCTCTCAAATAAATAAAATCTTAAAAAAAAAAAAAAAAAAGAATCGTTTCCTGGAGGAAGGGATGCTTGAGCCAAACACTCAGGGATGTGCAGGTATTACTGGACAATGGCGAAAGTGGGGGGTGGGGGCTGTTAACTAGACCATGGGGAGTACCTTCAGGACAGAGAGCCAACCACAACAAAAAGCTGTGGCAGAAGGAAAGCAAGATCATCACAGGGATGAAATAAACAATGAATGTAAAGATTTAGCAGAGCCTTTGGCACATGGCACCTGCTCATTAATCCTTGGCTGTTGTTAAGTGCTATTTATTTACAAAGCTCACAGGAGTGAGGGTCCTGTTAACCCACACGAGACCATGAACTAAATCTTTTTTCTATCAATGTTCCCTGGAATCCAAAGCAAAGAACTCTTTATTAAAGAAATACAAGCAGAAGGTTCAGGAAATTTGGACTGATCCCAACAGATCCCTGAACTGCAGGATAGGGCCCTCCTTGTCCCTTTGCAGTAGGAAGAGCCGCGTGACTAATTTGGGCCAACGGGCTGTGAGCACAGTGGCACGTGTACCTTCTGGGCTGAGGCGGTGAGAATAACCCTTTTTCAGCTCTGCGGTGATGACCCTGGAAGCCATCTGTTGAGATGGCAGCATCTCAAGATGGTGGTGTGTCTGTCACCTTCACTGGATGAGTAATGTGATAAGAAATAAACTTGTGTTACGATCTCAGAGGTTCATTTGTTAGCACAGTACAACCCAGCCTTGCCCTGACTAATAAGCAATGTTCGCCTGGAAGCCAGGGGGCAGCCATCTGCTGCTTAGAGCAAGGAGCAGCAAGAAAATCTATCTTGGCGGGGGGCGGGGGTACAACAAGTATAGAGTCAGTGACAGAATGCTACAGAGAACTGAGAATGGCAGAGGGTGGCTGGCTAGGTGTCTGGGTGATTCTTTAACTCCTGGTTCCAGGCTACCATACCCTTGGGCTCAGGTAGTGCCCTTGTATCCTTCAACAGAGTCCCCATTTGCAACTGAAGCCAGCTCAGGTAACACTTGGATTAAAGAGCGTCAAGGAAAATGCTCAGCAATTCCTCTCCCACTAGCCAAGGTTGGCTGAGGACATGTAGACCGAGGCTCCCGGGTACCCTAATTCAAAACATGTCCTTTCTGAATTGGGAAATAAGAAGGTGGGCGAATAGACTTTGCTGAGCACCCAACAGCTCTGGTCTCAGAGCTGGAAGGACCCTGAACTGAGGGGCAAGATGCAGGACAGAGCGATGGCACCTGCCATCACAAGGCCCTTTGTGGATTTCAAAGCATTACCACTGTGTCCAAACAACTATACTCTTTATGCCCATGTTCTAGTTAGGGATGCAGATATAGGAAAAGGGAACACCCAAGGGCACTCTGCTCATCGGCAGTTGAGCTAGGTAAGGCCTCCAGACTCAGGTTAAGCCGGTGCTGACAGCAACAAGAGCACACAGCATGCACTGGGTGTTGGTCCAAGCACTTCATATGCATTAACTTATTTCATTCCTCGAACAACCCTAAGAGGCAAGTATGATGCAGCACCTCCCATTTTACAGATAAGTAAACTGAGGCACAAAGCTGTTAAGCCCCTTGCCCCAAATCCTGGAATTGCCAAACGGTAGAGCCGAGATTCAAACTCAGGCAGTCTGGCTCCCGAGTCTCTTACTCAGGACACTAGGTGGCCTCTCTAAGTGACATCCCAGGGGACGCAAACTCCCCTGCCTCCAGGGGCCAGCCCTGTAGTGTTCATAAGTGAATCGGGACAGGAAGGACTGTATAACCTGGACGGCGCATGCCCTGGTTAAATGCAGGAATGTGGACCCTCAGTTATCAGGTGGAATTAAAAACAAAAACAGGGGCACCTGGGTGGCTCAGTCGTTGGGCGTCTGCCTTCGGCTCAGGTCATGATCCCAGGGTCCTGGGATCCAGCCCCGCATGGGGCTCCCTGCTCAGCGGGAAGCCTGCTTCTCCCTTTCCCACTCCCTCTGCTTATGTTCCCTCTCTCGCTGTCTCTCTGTCAAATAAACAAATAAAATCTAAAAAAATAAAAAATAAAAAAAAAACGAGATTTACATGTGAAATTCATCAGTCTTAAGAGTTTGCAAATGAGTCATGTTCTCTAAAAGCATGTTTTCTGAAAGATTCGTGTGAGCCACAGCAAGCCAGCAGAGGCCTCTGCACAAGGTATGATTCTTTTTCCTGTGCAAGGCGCTTCCCAGGGAGGTGACTCCAGCTGGCTTTTCCAGTTAGACCCTGTCTCCATACGACCTGGGTCTGCTCGGGCATCACAGCGACAAGATACCTTCAGAAAACCGGCCCAAGGCAGGTCCTGCGCACTCAGCCAAGTGCACGGTTGGCCACTTCCCCTGGATCGACTGGTGCCTCGGGAGGAACGAACACAATGCGCAGCTTGGGAATTACCACCAAAACGCATCTCACTTGGCAGGAGAAACAAAAGCGCCGATCCTCCCCACGCTCGGCCAACAACTTGCTCACTCACCTCTTCAAAGTCATCCAGCTCCTCTAGCCTGGTCCGAACCTTCTCCGACATGGCGGATGTGGCAGTCCCCGCTTTGCCTAAACAGAATGGACTGATGTCACACAGGTGGCTTTCTCCGTCCCCAACACCCCCAAGGGAAGGCATCTCTCATTCTCCACCTCAGCGTGAATAAGGGGACCAGGGAACAACTTCATTACAGACAACTCCGAGAGTTTGAAAACCATGTCCTTATACAACCAAAGTTCCACTGCAAACATTTTCGCTCAGAAGCTGCCCCCAGAGCTCAGTGGGCCAGCCTTGAAATGGTTCCACACTCCATTTGGTATTTACAAACTTTTCACTGAATCATTTGTTTTCTAAAGAAAGGCAGACCAGGGAAGGATGCCAAAAATCCATCATGCCATTGTCTTCCACCAACAAAAGGCCCTCTCAGGCTTGGCCTCGGTGTGGGACTGTCACACTCTGATACCCACTCTTCAGGCAAACAGGGCTAGCCACGCCTCCTACCATCACCTGTCAGCTGATTCTCACCATCCCATCCGCGGGCTGACAGGACAGAGACCAAGGGACGCCCTCCGGGCCATGGGCCAGCAGAGTGAGGCTGTCTGTCCAGCTGGCTCTCCAGCGCTCCTCACCTCAGAAACCTTTCCCCATCTGCAAGGGGCTTCTGTTCTAGATCTGAGTTCCCCCCGCTCCTGCCCCCCAAACTCATTCTCAGGATCAGAAGTTCATTCTTTGAAGGCACTGGCTACTTCGGTGTGGTGTTAGCTCAAAGATTTGTTTGGGATCAGGCTGAGGGCACAGTGCAGTTATTTAATTACTAACAAACGAATCCTTAAGTTTCCAAATAATGTTTGTTTTTGTTTTTTTACTTCGTTTCTACTGTTCCCTTCAATTTGAAATACAATATGTAAAGTGCATACATGTACATTGTAATAGATAATTATAAAACCTTGTGACCACCACCCAGCCCAGACACGGTCTTGCTTCCTATTCCCAGTTATCTTTAGTTGATGAAATTTACCCATGTTGTTACACAGAACTGTTTCCTTGCTGTTTACTATTTTCCACTATATGAATACACCACAGTGTATTTCTTATTCTACTGTTGATGGATGTTTGGGTTGTTTCCTGTTTGGGGCTACCATGAACGATGCTGCTGTGAACATTTCTATGTCCCTGGTTCATAGACACATACATTTCTTCAGGGCAGCGCCTTCTCAGACTTTACAGGAATCACTTACAGATGAATTAGCATGCAACTCGGATTTTCAGTAGGCCTGGCACGGCCTGAGACTCTGCCTTTCTAGTGACTCCTAGGTGATGTCAACGCTACCGGCCCTTGGACCACACTAAGAAAAACATGAACTTGGGTAAAGATGGAAAACGCTTTCTGTAAAGGGCCAGATATAAATATTTTAGGTTTTGTGAGTTATATAGTCTCTGTCACAGGTACTCTGCCATTCCAGCCCCAAAGCAGCTGCAGACAATATGTAAACAACCTGGTATGGCTGTGTTCCAATAAAACTTTATTTACAAGCTTAAACAGATCTGGCCTGCAGGAGGTCGTTTGCCAATTTCTGGTCTACAGCATATCCTAACAGAACTGCTGGGTCAAAGGGTTGGCCCAACTTCAATTTTAATTGATAACCACAAAAGTGCTTTACACAGTGGTTTTATCACTTTACACTCCCACTGGCAGCACAAGAGTGCCTGATCCTATACGTTCTCACCAGCAAGTCATCTCGTCAATCTTTCTGATCTCTCCAAACTGGTAGATATGCAACAGTCGGATTTATTTTTTCATGGATTGGGGTCAAAGTTACGGCCCTAACAAAGGTGCTCCCACTCTCCTCATTTCTCAAGTGTTGCTCTCACCTGCAGAGGACGAGGGAGAGTTGCAGCTGCCATACTAGTGGTCTGCACACAAACCACAACTGTGCTCACCTGCACCCCAGTGGCACATGAACTGTGTCAGGTGCCTTAGAATCACCTGGGAGCTTCAAAAAAGCACTTTGCAGGGGTGTCCTGGTGGCACAATCGGTTAAGCAACCAATTCTTGGTTTTGGCTCAGGTTGCGATCGCAGGATCGTGACAATGAGCCCTGCATTGGGCTCCGCACTCAGCATGGAGTGCGCTTAGGACTCTCTTTCCCTCTCCCTCTGCCCCTCCCCCCCACCACGCTCTCTCGAATAAATAAATAAATCTTAAAAAAAAAAAAAAGCAATACCTGGCTCCCACTCCTCAAGGTAAATTCAACAAGTGGAGTGGGGCCCCGTGGTATGTGTTTGTATGAAAGTTGCTCAGGTGAGCCTGCTGCACAGCTAGTTTGAGGTGCGCTGGTCCAGAGCTTCTGACCATGTGTCCTGGCAGGAGAAACTGAGGACCGCAGTGTTCACGGACCAGTCGTCAATAAGACTGCGACTCTTGTCCCCAGTGTATCTGCCTTCTCACAAGGGAGGGGGTAAAGACTTAAGGCAAAAGTAATGGATCTCTAATAAGGAGAATTTTAACTATTTTCCAGCTGGTGAGGAGGTACTCGGAGAGGAGACTACTACCGCTCTGTAACTAAAATCAGACAGTGAGCTAATGTTTTACTCTTAGAAACTCCTTTGGTCTTTTTTTTTCCCCCGCTAATCATATCAATATGTATTTCAATTCTACTAAGTATGTACATAATCTAGGAAAGAACAGCTTTAATGGAATTAAACACCAGACCGGATACTACAAACTTTTTTCCTTTGTGAAATTATCTAAAGGTTATGCGAGAATTCCCCATAGAGACAGTAACAACAAAAACTCACCTTTTTCAGATCCCATAAACAGATTCTGCAGAGGCAAAAATAATTTGTTAATTTTTTTAAAACTGACTAGTTTCTGCAACAACAAAAAACTTGTAAGACACTTAACTACTCAAGTAGCATGAAGACAACACGACCCATCATTTTCCAACAAAGCTACTTATCCAAATGAAAAACCGAACTATTTAATCAAAGGCAGAAAACACAGCTCACTAGAAACTACGGCAGGTTCAAATTTCTACACAATTCAGGATGCTCAAAGTGAGCCAACAAATAGCAAAAATTTTCAGGGCACCGGCATCACGGGGTTGCCTTTACCTTCCTCTCAACTGGGCTTTCACAGCCTTGGTGCTACTGACATTAGAGGCTGGAAAATCCTGTTGTGTGGGGGCGGACCCGTGCACTGGAAGATGTTTAGCAGCGTCCCTGGTCTCTACCCACTAGATGCCAGTCACATCCCCACAGCTGTGACAACCAAAAATGCCTCCAGACATTGCCAGGTGTCCCCTGGCAGGTAAAATTACTCCTGTTTGAAAAATCACCGCTCTGAAGTAAGTCAATGCATTCAGAAAATCAGAACAAAACGACTAGTCCAGCGATTCTGCCTGCACCCCCCTCACCCAGCTCCAGCCCTGAGAGGAAGCCAGGAGGGGAGGGATCCGGGCAGAGCCTTCCCATTGCCCACTGGGTCCACCCCTCCTCCCTACTCCAGCCCCGATTTCTGATGGGCACACTGGTCACCACTTCCCAGCTTCCCTTCCACCTGTGTCTGGCCCGTGACGACCTTCAAGACAAATGTGACTGGGTGTGTGGAGGGGGGACTCTGGGAGGGGTCCTCAAATGAGCAAGGGTGCATCCTACTTTCCCCTCTCCTCCTTCCAACAACTCAGATACGAGGGGACACTGGACAGGGCAGAACAGAAAGAGCTGCTGTTCCAGCCCTGGACCACCCACCTCTGAGCTGCTTTTCAGGGTCAAGAGAGAAACGTTACTGGTGAGGGCTTCGGTTATAAGCTCCTGAACCTCGTCCTCAGTAAAACGGGCATTCCCCTGCTTTCCCTGGCCGGTCTCAGGTCTCAGCTTGGAGCCAACGACTCTGCCTTGTGGCCACCCAAACAGTGAACTTCCAGTTCTGGAAGAAAACCTGAGCCACAGCAAGAAGCACACCTTCTTCGGGGGTGGGAGCTGGGGGGTGGGGGGAAGCAGGCTCCTCACATACTAACGCAGACCTCCCCAGAGATGGGGCTCCAATGTTCCAGTTCTTCCCCTGAACTGTGCCAGAGCCCTGATTCTTAACACATTTTTTGAGAAACCAATGAGCACATTTTTCTCCCAACTAACGCTGACACAATGAGGGAAACGTACAGAGCCCAGGAGTTGGGGCAACATTAACTGTGATGTTGTGATTTGTAAGAAATCCTATTCCTGGCACAGAAGCTCCTACTACCCTTGGAATTTCCCAAGGGATGAGAGTGGTAAAGGTGTCTTCTGTTAACTGACTTTTGGACCCACCTAAGGATGGGGACAGGTTTCCAAGGGAAGCAAAATTAGAACTTTCAGTCCCAGGCCCTGACCTCCAGGGAAGGGAGAAGGACTGAAGGGTGAATCAATCACCAATGGCCAATGATTTAATCAATCATGTCTATGTAATGAAACCTCCATAAAAACCCAAAAGGACTGGGCTCAGAGACTTTCCATGTTGGTGAACAGAATGCATCCACATGCCACCATGCAGGACCCCCAACTCCACCGGGAAGGAGGTTGTTTGGAACTTCACTCTAGGTCTCTCTTCCAGTGGACACTAATTCGGGGCCTTCAATATCCTTGTAATCTAGTGAGTAAACCGGTTTCCTGAGTTCTGTGAGCCACCTCACAAATTAGCTGAACCTAAGGAGAGGGTGGTGGGAATCCGACGCACAATCAGATAGCCAGAAGCACAGTGGACCACCTGGACTCATGACCCAAGGGTGAAGTGGGAGAGAGTGTTGAGGGACCAGGTCCCTGTCCCATGGGAAGTGACACGATCTCCGGGTATCTCTCTGTGTCAGAACGGAGTTGAGCTGCAGGACACCCAGTAGGCATCAGAGAATTGCTTGGTGTGAAGGAAAATCCTACAAACGCACTTGGGGGCAGAATCATAGTGACGAAAAGCAATTACTACAAAGTCCAAAGCGGGCCCTGGGGGAAGAGCGTACTGGTACTCACGATGGAGAGCTTTTCTGTGGTGGTGTACCGGGCAAGGATTTCTCCTCGTTTGTTGGCCCAGGGCTCGAAGTCGGATCCTACGATGGAGTTCTCATCTCTGTCTCGTCTCTTTCTAGAGCTGTCCTAAGGAAAGGCAAGACAAGCTCTCAGCCACAGTACTGTTTTAGTCTTTAAAAACAAAGTGTAAGGGTGCCTGGGTGGCTCAGATGGTTAAGCGTCTGCCTTCGGCTCAGGTCATGATCCCAGGGTCCTGGGATCGAGTCCCACATCGGGCTCCCTGCTCCACAGGAAGCCTGCTTCTCCCTCTCCCACTCCCCCTGCTTGTGTTCCTGCTCTCGCTATATCTCTCTCTGTCAAATAAATAAATAAAATCTTTTAAAAAAATAAATAAAAATGAAAACAAAATTAAATGTAAAAAAAGACAAATAGCAAAATCATGTTCATATTTTAAATGTCTAACAATTTCACCAATTATATCTCAAAGCTAAAGGGAAAAAAAAAGTAAGCAGAAGGCAGACAGTCTCTCGTTGCGGAATCAAATCTAAAAGGTTTACTAGATAAAATACTTTTCCGGCCAGTTCACCACAGATGGCCAACAGACAGATCAAAAGACACTCAAACACATTAAGAATCAAGGCAAGGCAAACGGCAAGTGGTCATTTTTCAACCACCAAAATGGCAGAGTTCAAGTGCTGAGAATATCCCAGGTGACAAGGCTGCAGGAAGACGGGCGCTGCCGGCGGTGCTAGAACACGGTGAGGCCCTCCTGGAGAGTGACGTGGCAGTAGCCCTCAAAACCTTAAACACACATTGCCGTAGCCAGGGACTGAACTTCTAAGAAGTTATCCTGCGGGGGCGCTTGATGCTCAGTCGGTGGAGCATGCGACGCTTGATCTCAGGTTGTGAGTTTGCGTCCTATGTTGGGTGTAGAGATTGCTTAAACAGAAAGTCTTTAAAGAAAAAAAAAAAAAAAAGGATGGGCACCTGGGTGGCTCAGTTGGTTAAACGACTGCCTTCGGCTCAGGTCATGATCCTGGAGCCCTGGGATCGAATCCCACATTGGGCTCCCTGCTGGGCAGGGAGTCTGCTTCTCCCTCTGACCCTAACCCCTCTCATGTGCTCTCTCTCATTCTCTCTCTCTCAAATAAATAAATAAAATCTTTATAAAAAAAAAAGTTATCCCACAGAAATCCTTGCGCACCGAGACGTGTGTCTGGTCGAGGCCCGGCATGCCACGGCCAAGACAAGGAACACCAGCAACAGTCCACGTGCCCAGCATCAAGTAAGTACTCGTTCTTTAGGATGCAATGCAGCCATTCGAAATAAAAAGACTGCTCCCTAAGTATGAACACAGAAAGTTCCCCAAGACACCCTGTCAAGTTAAAAAAAAAAAAAAAAAAGTACTCGGAGGTGGGCAATGCCAGCTGAGAATGATGGTTCAGAGTGTGGATTCGGAAGTCAGCCGGGCTGGGCTTGAAGTCAGCGTATGCACGTTCCTCCTCCATGTGGGCCCCTTCAGAACACCTGTCACACGGCGGCGTGACCCCGAGAACTCGCTGAGAAAATGCCCGCCACACGCTTAGTAGATCCGGTCACTGCTGTAGTTGGTACTCACACAGGAGCAGGGGTATAAATACTCAAAGTGCTACCGCAGACAGATCCCCAAGAAAATAAAAAGAAGGGGCGCCTGGGTGGCTCAGTCGTTAAGCATCTGCCTTCGGCTCAGGTCACGATCCCAGGGTCCTGGGATCGAGCCCCGCATCAGGCTCCCTGCTCAGCAGGGAGATGGCTTCTCCCTCTCCCTCTGCTGCTCCCCCTGCTTGTGTGTGCTCATGAGCTCCCTCTCTCTCAAACAAATAAAGTCTTTAAAAAGAAAAGGAAATACAAAGTGATAGAAGAGACACTGAAAACACTGATCACTGAGGACCTCAAAGGTGGCCAACAGGACGCAGGCTTCGTTGGCAGTGTTTAACTCTTACGTGAAAAATCAGCGATCTACTTATGTAATTACCTAAGAATAAATAAATAAGGGAATTATAAAGGGTGAAATTAAAACCAAAAATGAATTTTAAAATGCCTTCATAAAGAAAGGAGGGGGGGCCTCCGTAAGCCGGACCCTGTGGGCGCCTGGATCAGCTGACCGTTACAAACATGACGCCCCCCCCACCCCACATGACCTGTGCAGAACGAAAGCAAAAAAGATGAAAAGCCGCCACCCCTGCCCCCGCAGGACCAACCACCAGCAGCCGCGTTACCGTGGCTGCGGGGTCCGCCGTGGCCGCAAACATGGAGAGGGGGTCGGTCCCGTCCAGCACGCTGCTCAGCGGGTCTAGCACGGAGCTGGAGGACGAGGAGGATGTGGAAGAAGTGCTACCTTTCCGGCTCACTTTCTTGGTCTTCGACTCCGTGACCTGTGGGGAAAACCCAAGAGGTCAAGTGGAAGTTTCCCAAGACGTTTCCCAGAGATACACTCACATGGGTTTTTGCTCATTCCCTTCATTGAAGCGACCACTGCTTTGGGCAGGAACGCTTACCTTCTGTGACAAATGGACATGACTCAGAATCCCAGCTACGGAGGAAGGGAAGGCACGCAGTAGGGGTGAGTCAGAGACCGGGCCATCAGGACCCAGGAGGTGAGCTCTAACCACACCCGTCGGGCCCTCTTACTCAAAGCATGGCCCTGGACAAGCAGCATCCATGTCACCAGGGAGCTGCTCAAAAACATGGGCGCTCAAACTCCGCCTGGGATCTACAGCATCAGAGCCCACATCTTCACAAGCCTGTCAGGTTACTCACGAGGTGCCACAGGTCTAGGGAGGGTCATGAACCAGGGCACGCAAGATACCAGGCTTGTCACGCTCTGAAGATGGTCTCAGGGGTGCCGCCGAGCTGTCATCACTGCCAAGCAGTGGATGCCCCGCCTTCCTTTTCGGAGAACTTCCCGATGCCACGTGCTGGTGAGTCCTGAGGGGCGGGGCAGGGTGAAGCCATGTCTTTGGTCCACTGGCCTCCAACTCCCCCCAGCTTCAGATGACCAGACTGGGGGTGAACCCTTGAGCCAAGAGGATCCAACCAGAGTCTCTCTGCCTAAAATTTAGGACCAAATCCAGAAGGGCTAAGTTGCCCTCCACTCTCCCCTTGAAATGAGGAAGCTATGAAAACCCAGGGGCCAGGGGCGGAGGGACAGTAACGGACACTTTAGGAAGGTATCCACAGGGAGGCAGAGGAAACCCATCTTCAGAGAAAGAGAGAGAGGGGAGGACGGGATATAACAGAATGATGGAGAGGGCTGGATAAAAGAGAGCCTAATGGGCCTTTGTCCCTGGTTCTGGGAAAGGGGGCTCTAGTCCTTGGAGTGTCTGTCATTCACAAGCCTCTCAGTCATACCTGATTTATGCTAATGAGATGCCGCAGCATGGCGGCTGGTCACGAGAAGGACCAAGCCTATGAGCACAGCCAGGTGATGTCAGCCTGACCTCAGGGTTCAATCATGTGGCCAAGGAATCACTCCACCACGCTCATGTAATAAAATCCCCAATTCAAAGTGCGGACACACCAAAGTTCAGTGAGCTTCCTGGTTAGTGGACACACAATGTGTCCACAGGCTGAGGGCACAGAGCTCTCTGTGGTCCTGAACCTTCCCAGACCTCACCCTAAGTGTCACTCAGCTGGCTGCTCCTCATCCATATCCTTTATATAGAACTGTAAGGACAGTACTTTTCTGAGTTCTGTGAGTTGTTCTAGCCCATTATCAAGCCTGAGGGAGATCTTGGATATGCAGCGAGTTGGTCAGAAGTGCAGGTGGCCAGTGGCCTGGGGTCCCCCAAATTGGCAGTGGGTGTCTCAAGCAAGGGTAGGCTTATTGAAGACCTTGCCCTAAACCCGTAGGATCTGATGCCAACCTCAGAGGATTTGGCAAAGTGCCTCCTGCTAGTGCACATTTGTCATTCTGTCTGCCTGGCATCCGATCCTCCGTCTCCCAGGCTCACAGTCCATGTTTTCTTTGGGAAAGGAGCCCTCCCCGACTCTCAGCTTTTACAGGCCTGCTGGGGTGGGCCCTGCTACCAGTTCCCAGGGTGGGCACTACCCCAACCCAATCAGTCAGCACGTTCTACCCCCTGGTCACCAGAGTGGGTCCGGGAAGGACACGTAGCCCAGCTGGGCAACGAACACTGCTAGTGAAGAGAGTCTCTCTGCTGTCGTGTCACTAAGCCACAGGATGCAAGCCCGGAACTGACCCACCGGCAGGTCAGCCATGGCCGCACAAGCGCACAGGGCCTGGAGGGGCCCCAGGAGGCAGAAGCTCCATCTAGGATCTCCTGCTTTAAGTAATGGCCTCTGTGTATTCTCAGGCTCTCTGCCATTAGGAAACTTCATGTCCTTGGTATCCACTGGTCTGTTTCTGTCACCCTCATCCCCACCCATGATGACACGCACACAGCTTCTACTACTTGCTAATCAAACAGCACTAACCCAGAAGAGAGGGACCATCTAAATCACTTGCCTGCTTTTCGTTTTTTAAATAACTCACAAGTAGACCAAGATGCTAGTCAGGACAGCATCCTCTACGGGTAATCAGAGAGATTCTTAATGTTCCACACAGGCAAATTAAGAAGGTATCTGGTTTACACCTCCACGTCAGGAACAAAGGTGTCACGCGTTAATGACAACCTCGCGAATATGAGAAAGAGCAAAATGAACGTGATGGGGGGTGAGGTTAGCGTGACAAAAAAGAGGAAATAAAAAACTAAAAAACTAGTGGAAATAAATGTGAAAGCAGCTACTGCTGGCAAATGGGAAAGACCCAGGAACCTGGTCGGTAATTTCGTGGAGTAAGAACATCAGTTGGAGAGCCCCTGACAAACTTACCGTTATGGGCTTCAGCGGGTGATAGTCGCCAAACTCCAACGGCACAGCCTCGAGCCGGCATGATGCAAACTCAGCCTTGTAGTTCCTGCTCCTGGAATGCCTGGCAGAGAGCAAAACCCAGACAACGATCAGCGGAGGGAGACAGAGAAAACACTAGAACTGTTTGCTCAGACTTCCTCAAGGATACAGCAGTTTATAGTGGAACGGTACTTCTACCAACACCGAGAAACGCTAAATAGAATTTTAACATTCAGTTCACGGTGTAAGTAGCTGCCAAGGCATCCGGGACCCGTGAGGCCAGATGCCAGAACCAAGGGCACTCAATGAAGTGAAGCCAATTTCCCCTCCCGGCCTCTCCCCTGAGAAAACCAGGGCTTGAAAGAAGAGATTCTCAAGAGCAGGGGGTGCAGAGAAGCGAGAGATCAGGCCCTGGGTTTCCCCGCAAAGTGTTCACGGAAGCTGAATAAAGCCAGAGAAAGCAGCTGAGCAGGAAGTAGACAAAGAGCACATGTTTTCATCCGTCTTGTGAAGGGATTGCTGACACACGTGGGGACGACAGACAGGAAGCACAGTGAAGAGCTGGAAAGGCACCAAGGGGCAGGAAGGGAAGGTCTAACACACATACAAGTGGAACCCTAAAGGGGAAGAGAAAGAATGGGCAGAAGCCGTGTGTGAAGGGATGACAGCTGAAACTAAAGACATCAAGCTACAGATTCAAGAAACACCTGTGCTCCAAGCAGGACCCGTACAAAAGCAAAACTAAAACCAGACTTAGGGCTTTCATAGTAAAATGGCTAAAAACTAAAGAGAGAGGATTTCTTAGAAAAAGACACCCTATTTTCAAAGAATGATTACTGTCTCGGCAGAGAGGAAAGCCAGCAGGCAGAGGGATGGTACCACTCAAGTCCCGAGGAAATTAACTGCCAACCAAAACTTCTGCACCTACGGAAACTGCCCTTCGGTCATAAGGGCTGAAGAGCTTCCAGGCAAAGAAAAACAGGGAAAAAAAAAAGCTACATGTGGAAACAAAGTGATCTCAATCAAAAACAAAACATATATATACATAATATGTACACATATGTGCAGGTACACACTCCTATCACCCATACCTACTTTAGAGTAATAAAAAGTAAAGGTGTGGGTAAAACTAGATTAGTGACTGCAAAAAATGGTAACTTACGGTCCTTAAAATACATGTAGAATTAAAACACACAACTAGCACAGAAGAGATGCTAAGTTCTGAAATCCTCACCCCCAAAGATGATGGTGTTAGAGGAGATGGGCCTTCAGGATGTGATTAGGCTGCAAGGGAGGAAACGCATGAGGGGGATCAGAGCCCTGAGACCAGGGACCCCCCCACCCCGTGAAGACACACCATGCAGGTGTCAGGATCCCAGACTTCCAGCCTCCAGGAGAAACAAATACTTCTGTTTATAATTGTCCCCATCTGTAGTCTTTTTTTTTTTTTTATAGTAGCCCAAATGAACTAAGACAGATAACAGGGACTAAGAAGTGGGGGTGTTGCTATAACAAATACCTAAAAAATGAGGAAGCAACTCAGGAACCGGACAGGTTTTGCAAGACAGACTAGAAATGTCATCACCCCGGGTGGACGGTCACGGGTGATTGTCGTGAAGGCTCGGAGAGAGGGCAGGAGAGCTGCAGAGGAAGCCTCAACCCTCCTCCAGAACATGCCAGTGGCTGCAGACAGAAGCTGCTAGAAGTTCAGACGGTGAAGGTCAGTCTAGCGAGGCCTCAGATGGAAACGAGGACCAGGTAACTGGACATGGAAAAGTACTGCCTGTCATAACGTGGCAGGCAGCTTTGCTGGACTGTGCTCACATCCTGGTGCTCTATGGGAGGCAGAACCTGGGAGCCATGAAATGGGGTACGGGGGTGAGGACATTTCCAAGCAAAGTGTTGCAGGAGCAACTTGGTTGCTCTTGAATGCTTACCGTAAAAACCAAGAAGAGAGAAACGACTGAAAGCCGGAATGGCCCATCAAAAGGGAAACAGGTTTTAAAAACTTGGAGAACACTCAAGAGCCTCTAAGAGCACAGAGAGCCGGTCACCTCGTTCCTCAGTCTCCACCCCCTCCCACCATGACCCCACGCCACTCCCAGCCCCCTGGCTTCGTTAGTCCTTGCAGGGACCCCAAATCCAGCTGCACTGTGCTACCTGTCAGCCTTACTCGAGCTCCACTAACCCAGAAACCTAACTCAGTACAAGAGAATGGAGATCCCAGGTCATTTCATGCCTATCCCTTTCTAAATTAACTGTGGCTTTGAGAGCAGGAACGAAGGAAGGCTGGTCAACAATACCAGTAGAGCTCGACTTTTTATTTTTTTGAAAGGAAAAACCCTATCACGATATATTTACTGCGTAATGTCTCTGGGTCACACTCACCAACCACACCCGGTCCTCATCTCCCAAAAATATAAAATGCTCTTCCAAACTCCCTTTGATATGCAGCCAGCCAATCCTTGACTTAAATAAACAAAGACCTCAAGAATAAATTGGAGTAATAGCCATCGGCAGCCGTAACAGAGTTTAAAAATCAAATGACACGGGGCGCACGGGTGGCTCAGTCGGTTAAGCATCTGCCTTCGGCTCAGGTCATGATCCCAGGGTCCTGGGACGGAGCCCACATCGGGCTCCTGGCTCAGCGGAGAGCCCGCTTCTCCCTCTCCCTCTGCCTCTCCCCCTGCTCTCTATCTCTGTGTCTCAAATGAATAAATAAAATCTAAAAAAAAAAAAAATCGAATGACACTTTTCCTCCTTTCAGATCATTCTTAACTTTATCAACAGAATTTTGAAAGGTTTAGTAGGATGAGTGGAAATGTAATCGGACCTGAAATTCAGCTGCTAATGTTTTTCATCCCTGTCATAATCGTCAACAAATCAACAGCTAAGTACAGTATCAAAAGCGTAGGGTGACTTGATATGCAGAATAAAAATAATAGTTCTCCCTTGTTATGTGCTCACTGTATGCCAGGATCCATGCCAAGCCCTTTCCCTGCACTCTCTCATTTAACCAACCCCCTGATGCAGGTGCTATTATTACGCCCATTTTCCAGACGGAGAAGCTGAGGCTTAGAGTTGAGGTGACAGCAGCAAGTGCTTAGGGACCCAAGCAACCTGAGGCAGCCCGATTCTTGGTTGCAGGGGCTCTGGAGACCACCTGTGGGTCATCTTGAGAACCTTAAACAACTGTCTACTTTTGTCTATTTTTTTTTTAAAGGACCAAGCTTTGAAATAAATTTTTTAAGTTTGAGGGGAGGGGGAAAAATACTGCTTCCGGAACAACCAAAAAAAGGGGGGGGGGACATTTATCCTTTTAGAAATTCCACGTCAAACAGCTGATCTATCACTTCTTCCACTGTTTTTCCTCAAATTTGCTCTCAGCTCCTAACTAGTTTCCCCACAATTTGAGATGCTAAAGCCTGGTCCTCAAGGCCTGGATCTTTGGTAAGGCCAACAACGCCCCCCAACGGGCATTTTCTCATAATCCCTACTTTGCTTTTTCCATTCAGAACAGAGCAGACGCGGCTGATAAAAATCGCCCGTCATCCCAGCCCCCGGCAACGCTAAAGGCTCGCGTGGGTCCTTGACGGCTGCCAGGAAAAAAAAAAGCCAACATTTCCCACCTCCACTCCTGGCTGGGCCGAGCCGCTGCTACTCAAAATGTGGTCCACAGATCACTCGACAAGGACATCACTTGGGGAGTGTGGAAACACCACAGATCGGAATCCGGATGTTAGCAAAGTCCCTGGGGTGATTTATACCCAAATTAAAGGTTGGCCACTCCCTATTTTCAAATTATCTACATCTGATAACATGGATGCATAGAAGTTCCATTACCAAATTAATCTCCTTATGCTGGAAATACCGAAATCCACCAAATGCTTTTTGCTAGCTGTTTTCGTTCTCAAGTGATTTTTAAGTGTCTAATGACAATCTGGCCGGTTTCTTCTCCCACGATCATTATATACCCTCCCCCCCAAAAAAGGTCTTAAAGTGATGTAGAAATTCTTGACTCAAAAGCGAGTGTTTTTAAGGGCATTATCACCACAGGATTAAACAGGAAAGGTGATCCACGGTGTACTGGACATCACAGATGTTAGCCCAGAACAAAATATACCAGAGATAATAAAGTGTGGGTCGAAAGAGGCATTCTGGGGAGATCCATGACAACGCAGCGGGATTTGGGGAGCCCTGCACCCCAAACCCACAACCCAGGGCCTGGATTGGAAGTCCAGCTGCTGGTAATGGTTAGGAGCACAGCCTCTGGGCTCCAAACCTCAAGCTCCTTAAAAGGCTGAGCAACTTAGGTAAACTAACTGCTTCACCTCTCTACCTCCACTTCCTCACCTGAAAAGTGGGGTTGTTTTGAGGATTAAATGATATGCTGCACAGGGCGCCTGGGTGGCTCAGTTGGTTAAGCGACTGCCTTCGGCTCAGGTCATGATCCTGGAGTCCCAGGATCGAGTCCCACATCGGGCTCCCT